TTGTGTACCAGTTTAACAATGAATATCATTTATGATTTTAACTTTATACACAAGTGCCAAAATACTATAATTATAATTAACAACTTATTTTTTCAATCAGTAATAAGTTAATTACAGAAAACATATTTGATTGTATACTTTTGCAGTTGAATTGATTGTTTTTTAAAATACATGTAATAGGAGATTGTAATGGGCAAGAACTAAATATTTCAAAAAATATATTATTTTTTCATAGTTCAAGAACTTTTCTAAAGTATGTCACAAAGATTGCAGGGCAAGTTGTAGAGAAATATTCTTAAAAGATTTTATTTCCTAAATTAATTTTCCAAATAATTACCATAAATAAGCATTAATAATTATTATACAATGAATACAAAGGCATGTTCTCTTTCTATGAAAATTATTGAGGGATGAGTGCCTAGGTCTTAAACACAGCTTTGTGAACATAACTTGCATCACTTTTATAGATCTAAACTCATATGAATTATCTTTTTTACACTTCAAAGAGAGGTTTATACTTTAGCTGTAATGAATTACTGTATTTTTGGGTTACTTCTGTTAACAAGCTGTTTAGCTTTCTTCACCACTTCAGAGTTTGAGTAGTTAGGGAGTAATCTGTTTTCTTCCAGCTGAAATCATGATTTCCCTTGCTTTAGCAATGTGGTTCAACACAACAGATATTCCCTTTTTTCTTTAAAATGCTAAAATACATGCCTTGCATGCTTTTATAACTAGGGAATGAGGGAATTTTGCATTTGAAAGTCCTGTCACATAGTCCTCCAAGAAGGGAAAATTTTAGGCACCATGATTGGATATGTAAATTCTTACCATAAATTGTGAACAACACTGTATTAATGTATAAAGAAGTCATTAACATACCTCTTAATAACTGATCCTGCTTCTTTATAAGGGTTTGATATTTCTTCAAACTTTTCTCATAGTCCCTTTTCAGTGTTGGGTTATCTTTTTCAGAATCCAGTGATACAGTTAAGGATAAAACTGCTTTTAAAAAAAAGAGACGTTCCTTTTCTTATCTCAATATTCAAAATATGACTTATACAGTGAATATTAACTATGATCTTTTTCTGCAATTGTTTCAAAGTTAAACTTTATTTATTCAAACTACTGGAAAGCACATTAGTGAAACTCCAAATCCTTACTGATCTGTGGAATGCACATTAGTGAAACTCAAAATCCTTACTGATCTGTGGAAAGCACATTAGTGAAACTCCAAATCCTTACTGATCTGTGGAAGCACATTAGTGAAACTCCAAATCCTTTATTTACAACAAAAGTGTTATGAAAATGCTCAGAGATAATGATATATAAATGTATAATTATACTGTTGATATAACTTGTAGGTAGTTTAAATATTCGTTATGTTTGTTTTATGTGTGATAGGTCCTTAAACACTTCTAGTTCTAGCTCTTTTCTTTATGGTAGCTTAATCTAACCACAGATTCAAATATGCTATATTTTATGGAAGCAGTTCAACAAGAAATTTATACACAATGGTAGTGAGACACAGAAGTAAGTTAAAATGATCTTTTACCATGGGACATGTATTTAACCATTATTATGACATATTTTCAGAAAAAAAAGAAAGAGAGAGAGAGAATAAAAATTGATTAGAAGTTGCACTGATGCAAAATTGCCTGACATATTGCATCACTCTTCAATATCAGAACTCATTTGAAGATATATTCAATAATAACTAATACGGAAAGTATGGCAATTAAAATGTGAGATTTTAAAAACAATACAATGCAGCTTGATAGTAAACATCAAATTCCATTTCTCACCTTATAAACGGAGTTATTAGTAGTTGCTTCAATGACAACATATCTGTTACATCTGAAGAGACAGGTCTAATGAAAGGCTACCATAAAAAGATCTGTTGATGTTGAGTCACAAGCCAAAAAGTTATAAAAATCAGAAACTAAGTTAACAGTGAGACAAACTGGAAAATTCTGGTGGAAAAACTTTAAGAATACAGTTAACTAAAAATAAACCTCAAAAAGTAACTTGAAGCAATAGTTATCAACTGAATCATCCAGGAAGAACTATGAGAAGATATCTACTCAAAAGAAGCCACAGAAAGCTTGTTGAAGAGGTCTATTTTATCAAATACTTTGGTCAATGTATGAATTTTCCTAATATTACTCAGCTTTCTCAAACACTGCACGTATGAAGTAGTATAGTTTTATTAATCAAATACCTTCATTAATTTGAAGTTTAGTACCAAAATTACTTGCCTTTATTTTAATTCTAATTTTAGCAAAATATGTTTTCATCCATTGGTATATTATCATAAATTACTATTTCAACAACCAGAATCCAATTAAACAACTAACATATGAAGTTCCTACAGTATCTGTGGCAATAGTACATTTTTCTATAGAGAAATAAGCCCTACATGCACAAAAGTAATTGAGTAAGTGTGTTCATAGATACATGTACAGTTGACATGTGCTTCTAAGCCAAGATGTTTTTATAGTATGTTTTTAAATATAATTATACAACATTGCTATTGAAATCAGCAAATGTGTGTATAAACTTATGTCATTCCTGCACCAATTTTATGCTGTTTCCATCATGAAATATCTACATAACCTCATAAAACATGTAAATACCCAAGTATATGTCAGACCAAGTGTGGTAGAATGCAGCTTAAGTGTGTCATGTATGCCTATATGAATTATTTTAAGATCTTAACTAATGCCACTGATATATAGAGTCCACTTATTGGACTAAGGCTACAAGTTATTCAGGTGAGTTCAGAATTGATACGTTAAACATAAACAACAAAATTAGGACCAAACTATACAATCATTCAGATTACCAGAAACTGAGCTCATTAGATTTATTAATAATTTATATTTACAGTTGGTTAAATTAGCACTGAATAAGTATTTTTGAAGAAATGTTAAATTCCACTTTTATTATATTATCATGACCTCTTCAATAAGCTGTTTGGATGTTTATATATTATATATACTGTACAAGGTATTTCTATGGGAAAAAAATGTGTGTATTTTTTTTAATGCAAGGCCACATCTGGCCATCTGCTCATTTTACTGAGGGGAGATTCAAACCCTTGATCGTAGCATTGTAAATCCCTAGACTTACTGCTGTCCTCGTGGGGAACAGGGAAAAAAAATGACAGCATCATCAATTCATGACTGATATTGAGCATTTTTTTTTATACAGCACAAATTTCAAAGAGCTTTTAAACACAAAAGAATGTAGGAAAGATAATTCCCCCCAAAAAATCTAAACATTAACAATGTATTACATCAATTCAGACACAAAGGATATATACGTTTCTCTTTTTGGTAAGATCTTCTTTCCACTGTTCATGTCGATTCAGTTCATATTCAATGATGTCCATACACAACGAACCAATCTGTTATTTAAATAACAGGAAGGATAATGAAATAAATGCCCCTGCACACGTATTACACAAATTATGTTTAACAATTGCTGCCTGATATAGACTATAAAAAATAAGAATTTATTGAAGCACTTGGGTCATCTGAATATTTTGCCATTGCTATTTTACTACATAAACCTAATAAGGTTTATCTAATGTTTTTTCATAGAAGAAAATTGACATAATTTTCACACAAATACAATCTAACAATAAAACATTTTCAGGACTGAAAAGAAAAACATTTAAAGAAACTATGAAAAAATACAAGATCTGTGGTTTTTATCCAAAGTATTCTAAACTTCTTACTAAATCCAACTGCAACTGTTCTTCTTTAAAGACCTACATCTAATCCTTTACACTGACATAAATATTTTATAATTTGCTATGTTCAATGGTATTTAAGCTTTGCCAGTAGTAATTTTCAAAGCTGTTACTGATATGCAGTTGTTCCCACCTTTTTATGACTTCACAGTATGTGATGTGAATGAGAAGTTTTAAAAGTAAATTGTCAGATGAAGAAAGAGAATGATCAGGGAAACAATTCTTTGTTAACTGTAGTCTTAAAGGATGATAGTTTCTTAACAAATAAAAACTTTTGCTTTAATGTGAACAGAAAAATTCGAAAAAAAATTGGTGTGTTGTTTACAGACGAGACTCTTTGGAGCTGTGCATGCATGCAATTTTGAAGATTTTTACATTTTTCTTTGTGAATTACCCTAAATAAATGACAAAACACCAATTCTAAAATATTTTTAAGTAAACAAGTGTTAAAACAGCATTGGAATTATAATTTTTACCCATATTCTGAAACTTGATATGCTGGTGTGCACTTGACACCTGAAAGGTGTTCACAGGTCTGAAAATGGTTAAAGTCAATAATAAGGTGAGAAAATCAATAATAGCTTTATTTCTAGGCACAAGAAATCAAAACTACAGGAAAAATGGGGAGTTCTAATAATTTTGCACACTGCTGTATGCATTCATATTGTATACTTATATTATTAGTCTTCTATACAGTGACAGGTGTTTTTATCTGGTTGTGTGTTTGTACTTTTCAGAATAGGAGATATTTTAAAAAAAGGTGTTTCTTATTGTTCAATTATAGGAAAGAGCTGGATGAAACACTGAATTATAGGCTTAGTTTAAATTATTGTTGAACGAAATCTTAAAATATCTTAATTGAATACATCCATAATTCATTTACAATTACCTTTTTTATTTCAGTCAAATTATTCTAAAAAAGTGAATTTTAATTAATAAATTTTAAAAACATATATATACATCAAATAATAAAAGAAATACACAAATCAATACTCTTCGGACCTGTTTGCTGAATCACTTTTTAGAATTAACTATATTTGACCTCACATCTAAACAATCAAACATTAATAGTTTGATACATAATATAACTTACTAGCCAAAGCTATTGGATGTTATATTGATTATCTTACTGTGCAAGCTTCATATAGTTATATTTACTTTTTTAACAAAAAGAAACATAGGTAGGTGTATGAGTGCATAACTATGCCATTTACGAGTTTACATAAAACTTACCTTCAGCTGTGCAATGAGAGGATGAAACTCTGAAAAGGTTGAAAAGCAGAAAAAAACATACACAATGTTGGTACTTAAGTCAATACTTTTCCTACCATCTTCTCGAAGAACTCTTCCTAATGCTCCCAAAAGGGTTTCTAACAAAAAAAAAAAAATATTGTCAAAATGCATGGAATGAATACAATGCAAGTTCACGGTATCTGGCATAAATTCTGCACTATAGTAGATAGATAAATAAGTAATTAACATTTTGTTATTAAAGTGATCAAAGAGCATTATCTTATACCTTCAGATACATGAAAATATTATATTGTAGTTGTAACCCACCTTACATTTAAATTGATCATGTAATCTTTTTTACACTTTTATGCTAATCATATCTGCCACAAAGTCAGAAGCCTTACACAGCATTAAAGCTATATGGTTTTGAAATAAGGTAAAAAGAAAACAATTACTTGAGTTGCTTTTATTAACGACAGAATAATAAATCAAAATTTGTATAGAAACCTTATTCATTTTAAATAGCATGCAGTAACGTTGATGCAATAATTTATAGCATAAATATTATTCCTAGTTTGTTAATATCTTTTAAAAAATGTGTAATTTTTGAAATTCTGAAAGTTAGGCTTACTTTTAAAATCTTTAATTGTTTAATTTATCTTTGCTGAATAATTTATAGGTATTGGTAGGAATATCAGCTTTAAACTAGAACCATGAGAACAATGTAAATAATGTTCCTCCTTATAGTGGATTATTTTGGCCAATATAATCCATGGTAATGTAATTTAAGTTGTATGTACGTACATAATAAAACTATTTCCATTTTGTTTGAATACAAGAATGAAACATTATGAACAGAAAAAACTTGCTTGAGGAGTCAAGATCATTCAATCTGACAGCAGGTTAAGTATGATGGATCCACAAACACATAAAACTAATCTTAAGTTCATGTTCTGAATGAGCATGATGAGGCTTATTTATATATTTATTTCATTGTTTTGACATTATTCATGGTTCATATCGAATTGCTTAGACCAATTTCAAGCACTTTCTAAGCACTCTCAAAATGTTTTTCAAGCACTTTCTGGAATCTAAAACCTACATCAAAATCAATCGGATTCCACAGAAATTTTATAAAATTCCTTTTTATTTGTTCAGTATGTTTAGTATGTAGACTAAAACGAAAATAAAGACTTTATTTATTGCATTCATCTCTGCAATATGCATGAAAGTGAGATATATCAATATATTCTACTATTACAATATTTTCAAGTACTTTTGCAAAAAAAAAGGCCCCTTTTCAAGCACTTTCACACCCTTGAAATTCCATTCTCAATTTCAAAAACTTTCAAGGATGGGTATGCACCCTGATTATTCAAACCAGAAAAGCCATGTTTTAAATGTTTAAGTTCCAGACAGGTTTTCTAAGATTTTAAGAGAACTGGAAGTACCTACCATTACAAGCCAGCTCTGCTAAGTTATCAGGATTTCTGGAAAGCTGTAACACCAAGGCAGATGCCCTTATTTTATCAGTCATGTCTTCATACAGTAATTCTATATAATCATCCAAGCAGTTAATGTTGGCCATTTCATGGACCCTTATACTCTCCAGACCTTCACGTTCTTTATCCTTTTCTTTGTCACTCAATCCTCTGACACTTTGGGAAGACTCTGATTTCTTCAAGTCTTAAAAAAAAGCATATATTTATATACATTAAACTTCATAAACTATTCTAAGTTGACCAACAGAGAATGTTATTCAACTATATACAAGGAATTTTTATATCAAAATTTCAAATAAAAAACTAATTTTTGAAGTCAAACAAAGCTTAATGGCAATACTGATATATTTCTTTAAATGTTTAGGAAAAAAATAACAAAACATAAAGACAGGCAAAAAATTTCCTCACACTAAGTATTTTTATAAGCAGTACCTTTACTTGATGGTTGTTCTTTTCGAGTCTGAAGATAAAACAGTAACTGTTCCACTTCTCGAACTTTTGCTTGTGGAATGAGTGAACACTTTTCAACAATTTCTTGGGCCAAAGCAGAGATATCTGTGCTATCATTTAGACTTTTCACACGAATACTGAAAAATTAATATACATCTATGTATACATCTAACAACACATACATGAATAAATTAATATCTAAATAGAGAGATTTATTACAGAACATAAATGTCATTTTACAAGTTGACAAACCATCCCACATGTGTAAAAGTGTAAAGGCAATTTTCTATCCAACACTATTAAGACAACAAAATGTTAGCAATAAGACAACTGAATAACTAGTGTATCTCTTCATTTGATTATTGTTACACAAAATTGAGTAATAATACAAGAGTTAAGACATCAAAGTCACAAAACAACATCAACTTGGAATATCTTCATTCAGTTACGACAACTTTTACTGAGCCTAGATTTGTTATTTCAACTCATTCAAGTTCACTATATAAAAGAAGATAAATATCAAAGATATACACTATAAAAAGCACAAACAGGCAGTAAGACCCAGAAAAGGAATGCAAATTGAGTATATAACCTGTTAGAACAGAGATGAGATGTGGAATACAATAAATTATTCTGATCCAGAAACAATGGCTAGAACAAACTGAGTATTTACAACTTCACTATCATATGACCAATCATTATGAATATGGAATATCAGTCCTCTATGCCAAAACAGAAGATGATCATTTGCATATGAAGGTAGGCAGGAATGACAACGGACACTCAGTAGAAAATGTATATTGAAAGGTAGAAAATATAGAAACATCACAAGGTAAGCTTACAATGTATATGCTAAATAGAAAGAATTCAGCACAGATAGAATAATAATAATAAGAGCATTTACCAATCTAGGTGAAGTATCAAAACACAAATCAACTGACATAAACTAACAGACATTAATGTTTCCAATTATTCCAACGATCGATTAACAAAATTCCCATTATATCAACTATAATGAAAATAATCAATTAATCAAAATTAGTGTTTCCAATTATTTATATTTGATTATTGTAACTATCCAAGTGATTGAAATACTGCTATTATGTCTGATTGTTGCTAAGCACAGTTATTTAATGGGCTGTCTGTGCTGTACCCAGTTTTAGATTTTTAACTTGTTTATTTTTTACTTCAAGTTTCTTCAGCTTTGGTCATTTGGAGGGGGTGGGGGAAGCGGGAGAGGCTCTTGATTTGACGGTCTCAGGTTCAATTACTTTTGCCACCAAACTTGCTTGTCTTTAGTATGGCAGAATTCACCACCACATTTTTTTTCTTTTTGAACTGCTGACTAAAGGGAAGGTAACTAGCTTGACAGCACCTGCCACCAACATTTATTCATTTCTTTGTTTGCTTATTTGTACATATCATGGTTTAAGTAACACTCTAGTAACTGATTAATAGGGCTGTAGATTAATCAATTACCAAATACCACTAATTTCCCAACTCTGTCCTTAACTAGGAATATTTATATATCAAAATATTAAAACTGGTAAAAAAAGATATATTCATTGATATTTTATGCAAAGTCATAACTACCTTCAATCTAGTATAACAAATTTTTGTATCTCTCTTAGCAGCTATCTTTCTTGAAACTGCAGTTTCTTCTGTCTCTCTTTACTACAGACAGTTGAGTACATGATATCAATATAATTTTAAATATGCAAATCAGTAAGTCACATGACAACCACAGCCAATTTAAAGTCATGGTGAAACATAATGTATCAAAAATATATTTTGAAATTATGAGGCATAAGTAGTGTGATGCCACCAGAAACTGATCACATTTTGGAAGATTATGTATCATCCTTTAATTAGATATTCAGGCACTCAGATTGTAAAAATATTTTCAGATTGAGGATTTAGAATTTTCAAACCAGGGATATCCCTCGTAATTAATGGTATTTGAAGAAAAGGGAAAGTGGATCAACTTGAGAAACCAAGACCATCTAGTAAAAGACCTACAACAAGTCATATACAGCCATAGTAAGCAAAGAGTGACAACTTGTAACAAATGAGAATCCACAAATACAAAGATCAGTGGCAAAAGCCATCCAATTGCCAAAGGTAACAGTACACAACATAATCAAGGATCTTTACCTGGAAAAGCAACAGACACAAGTTAACATTTTCCAACATTGAATATGTATGTGATAAATATCTCCACTCACATTTAGCTTTCCCAATTCAGTACTGACTTCTATATGCAAACTTTTTTGCTTGCCACTAGCCTTAAGGCTCCCACCTAATCTCACCTGTTTCCATGTGATATTACTGAGTTGTTGCATGCAAATGAGTGTGTGACAACTATCCACCAAAAGGAGTGTAACACTGCTTCCTAGCACAACAGGCTCCCTATATACTGATTGTTCAATCATCACTTTGAGATTAGGCAAGAAAGTAAGTTGCACCATAAGTGGGGAGGAACAGTGGGAAGTGTTAGCATCTATTGGAAATACATTTTCAGTGTTGGAAAATGCTAACTTCCAATATGACACATAACCTCTTCTCATCTAGTTAAATTCCCATGTTGAAGTGGTGGATAGGTTGGTACCAAATTTTACCTAGATAAGCCCCCTTTGGGAAGTGGTTGAAGAAAACCCATAGAGTGTGACACCCTATCCATGGGAACAGTTTAGGGGCACATTCTTGAGAGACTGCACCTTATGTAGTAGGGTACACTCTTCACCCAGAAGTGAAGGGATGGTAAGAAAGTAAGATGCATCAGAAGTGAGGAAAAAGGGTAGGAAGCATGAGTGTAGGTGAGTATCTATTAGAAATACATTTTCAGTGTTGGAAAATGTTAACTTCCGATACAACACGCAACCTCTTCTCACATATAGCTAGATTCCTATGTTGAAGTGGTGGATAGACCAGTACAAAAGTTTAACTAGATGAATCCCCTTTGGGAAGTGCTTGAAAGAAAAAGAAGTAGTATGACACCCTATATCTTGGAACTGTATAGGGGCACACTCTTGGGAGACTGCACCTTGTCTGTACTAGGGTACACTCTATGCTCAGAAAGGAAGGGAAGTGTCATAAGGATGGACAGAACAAGCACAGTCCAAAATCTACATCAGGATTTTGGAAGTGATGCATGTGTAGTGTGGCTAGGGCATAGCAGACCATACATAGTAGGTCATGGGTCAACACCAGTCCAAAATCACTGGCAGAGGAAAGGAACCAGAGAAAGGTTCTTGCGATAAGAGGTAGGTAAACATACTTGGGGAGGAAGGGCATCCCTCCCAAACAACCCCGAGCAACAGAGTAACCAAGCGAGAATGAACAAGCCAAGGAAGAAGAACTTGCCAACATAAAAAAAGGAAGGGAACAAGTGTGTGTTGAAAATCTCTCAGGGGGATGGTGGATTGCTTCCAATGGGAGATGGATGGAAGATAGATAATCTAAACTGATATTGAGGGTATAGTGAAGACAAGAAAACTGAGCTTGAGAAAAGCTAATAGGGGACAAAGAATCAGATCCCTAAGCCTGAAGAAGAGACTCCAGAGTTTAAGAGTCCAAGAAAAGGGCTATAGCTTGACTCTAAGCCAAAGCATATGTGCAAACAGTTAAGGAGGACAAGGTGTACCACCACCAGAGTTAAGCTCAAAGAAAAAAAATTTCAGCATGGACTTGAATATTTGGGGAAGAAAGAAAAACATATTCTGAAGAAAGAGCCAAATGAAGAAGGGAAAGTAAAGAATAAGAAGAAATAGGAGAGGGTGAAAAAGTGTAACATATCTGAGAAGAAAAGTCATTGAAGGATGCAGAATGTCTAGGTATATGCATGTCTGCAATGGAAGAATTCTTTGCAAATTTAGGTAGCACGAAAAGATTGCTTAAAATCCACATATTCACAGACAAATATTATAGAAGGAGAGAAATCCATGTCAAAGACTGAAAAGGCCCAGGCCACATGCATGACTCCACCATCGGCCACACAATAGCTATAACATCTCCTGACAGACAAAGAAGCACCAAATACCATTGTGGTAGTCTATCTAGAGTGCAAAAAAGTCTAGATATTCAACAGTAGACAGTATACAAATGACCATCTTTGTGTAATTCATGTTATGAAAAATAAGAGACACAAAGTCTAGAAGGCAAAATTTTTGAAAATTCAACACTTGATGGCTTATGGAAAGCAAGCACATAATAGTGGTGTGCTTTTGACATAAAACCTTAAAATGGTGTCTTTGGCAATGGAAACTACACTGCATGACCACTGTCAAGATGCATGACCATCAGATAAAGCATGACCAGACATGACAACATGGACTCGAATGAGATGGTGAGGCCTCAAAACCATTTTAATATAATATACACAACCACTGTACATCAAAGTAAAAGCATACAAAGCTAAGCCTTGTACTTTATTTCTAGCTGATAAATTTTACAGTGTAATAAGCAAATATATATATTTTTTAAAACAGGCCTTTAGAATGTTACTTTTCTTGACATTCACATTAAGTTTGAGGTTCAATTTTAGAACATACTATAAAAACATATATGTAGATTCCTTAACAGAGTAAAAAAAATCCTGTCCTTTCAATACATTTTAATAGCTGAATGTTAATGTTACTCTTCAAGAAAGTGATAAGAGTTACTTCTAAACCACCAATAAATAATTTAAGAAGCACCCATGTCTGCAAACACCTGCCACTCTGAAATATAAACCATCTATACTTGTACTAGTATCCAACATATAGGTTGCTTGAGTCCAGGACAACCAATATTTTGTAAGGTTACTGATAATAATAAAACTACCATTCAGTTATGTAAGTTTAAGAAAGTCATTATATTAAAATTTTATGTAACCTATGACTTTAATAATGTGAAGGCATGAAACATCCAAAGCTTACTTTCATATCACTACAATATTCATTATGCCAAGATAAATAGAATGAATCTAGAAGAGTAAGAAAATATAAATATATGTATATATGTGTGTGAGTGTGTGTGTGTGTGAAAAAAGAACTTTCTATGTTATGAAAGAGGATCACACGTATACACTTAACCATAGAATTACACTCTTTAAAAAAAATTCTCAACTATTTGCGAGTTATCATAAAAATGTAAACAAAAATATTATGATTATTAGAATTAATCTGACCAATTAATATTGGTGTCACCTATGCATTTTACACTGAAAATGACATATTTTACC